ATGTGGGGCTTGATCCCAGGACTCTGGGATCATGACCTGAGCCAAAGGCAGATGCTTAACCGACTGAGCCACCCAGGTATCCCAAATGCTAAATATTTTTTAAGGCACAAATTGATGTCTGAAGTCTTCTTTGAAACCTTAAAAGATAATGGATGCAATCCTTTGAGCAACACATTGAGAAAACTGAAGGACAATGTAGTAATGATTTATTTCACTACTGTATCATCTTTCCGGGCAATGCCAGAATTCTTCCACTTCCTTATTTTAATTTTTCTTTTTTGCACACTGGGATATAATTGATAATGATGAAATAGCTTTTCAGATGATGAAACAGAAAAATGTCCCAAGGGAACATTATTCTTTTATTCTTAAAGGAAAAATAGATGATTGGTATCCCATTGTATATCTTAGTTCCATGAAAAGATCCAGTAGAACCCTATGTAACTGTAAGGTAGAATGAAATTTATTCTTTTTTGAAAATAAGTGAATTTTTGTCTTTGGAAGGTCTTTAAGAAAGAATAAAAGTCAGAAAATATTAATTCTTACAAATAGTTAGAACTGCTTAAAAAAAAACAACTCAAAAACTAAAACTTAATCCCATGGGCCCTGATAATTTATGGAAGGTTAAGACATGTCCCAGGAAGTATGTTTTTCTCAATTTTGTTTAACCCAGAGACAAGGAATTATGTTGGTTTCACTTCTCGGTTTCCCCTGCCACCTTTTGGTCATTTTTCAGCCTTATCTGGAGGATAGAACATTATCTTCTCAGGAGCAAAATTCTCCAAATGTACACAATTGTTGGATGTGTCATGGTTGTGTGTATATGAAAGTCATTTCAACCTTTGAAAGTGTATTTTCTTATTTTTTTATTTGGAAGTTTATTTGGATCTGTTGATAAGAAAATGGTGGCACAACAGCATTTAGGACTGTAGATTATACATTTGAATGCTGTAGTATAGACAATACTATGAGAAATATTATGATCAGGATTTCTAGTCTGCTTCTAAACCAGGATCAAAGACTAGTACTCAAATTCAACCAAAAGAACAGATTCCATCCCTGATCCAAAGAGCCCACAGAACCCAATATGGAGGGAATTATCCTTATTACCTATCTTGGTGATTTCTTACTTGTTTCCTGGGTCATTTTAGTAATCTTAGAGATCTCAGAGAGGTCTTTAAAGATGTGAGTACAACATTCTCCTAAGAGTCATATCTCTGCCTTGTTGGGCCAGTATATTTTCTAAACAGAATCTGTCTAGAACCACTGCCTATCCAATTTCTTGGATACGAGTGCTATACCTTTGTGACATGATCCAAATCTAGTGGTCCTGAACCACAGTGCTGTATAATTCTCCCCATTTTGAGGTCATCTGGTATAGTATGACATGAAAAGCCCTGAGAGCAGAAGAAAGCAGTTCAAAATTCTCCTTTAATGGTGGTTGAAGTTTTTTGACAATAGTCAACGCCCAGATTTTCTCCTCTTTGAATGAAATGATCTAAATAGCCTTTTTTTGGCTTTTGATGGGCCAAATTGATCTTAAGAGATAACAGAAATCATCCTAAAGGCAGTCAGTTTAATGAGATAACATATCTGATCCAATTTTCCGGTTGACTCTTGTGTGCAAATTCAATACTTATCTGTAGGGGCCATCCCAGTGGCCTAGTTTTGGTCGAAATGCCTGTACAGCTTATCACATAACATGGAAATGTTAAAAGGTAAACATTTTTGTCTCAGTGGGTTAAGCAGCCAACTCTTGATTTTGGCTCAGGTCATGATCTCAGGGTCCTGGGATCAAGCCCCCCCGAGGTTGGGCTCCACACTCAGTGGGGAGTCTGCTTGAGGATTCTCTCTCTCCCTCTCCTGTTCTGCCCCCCAGTTGCACAGATGCATGCTCTCTCTGTAAAATAAATAAATTTTAAAAAAAATATATCGACCACTGGATTAGAGTGATTAACAGTCCAAACCCACATTATTTATTTTTCCTCCTTGTAACTAAACAGTAATCTGTATGGTTTTCCTTTTACTTTATTATCCAGGAATATTCATTTCTTTAGCAACTTGTCATGTTGTTAATCCTCATCAGAATAAAAAATATCATTATTTGTAGGAAGGTACTTTGTTACTACAGTTTCTTGTGTAACTATTTCTTAGTGTTCTAAACTAGTACTTTTTGGTTATCTTGAAACATAGTTCCAATGAAAAGAGAAAGACAAATTATTTGACTCTTTACTAGTAGTTAAATACTTTTTCTAGGGACACCTGGGTGGCTCAGTCATTGGGCGTCTGCCTTTGGCTCAGGTCATGATCCCAGGGTCCGGGGATTGAGCCCTGCATCGGGCTCCCTGCTCCGCGGGAAGCCTGCTTCTCCCTCTCCCACTCCCCCTGCTTGTGTTCCCTCTCTCACTGTGTCTC